ACACCGCAGCAATTCTCAGATGTACTTGCGCAGAAATGTCAGGCATGCACACTGCAGCAGTACGCCGAGCTAGTACCGGGCTGCGGTCAACAGGCGGACTAAGATGACCATGTGACGGAGCGAGCGGCGTGGGCTTGCCGAGCTAGTACCGGGCTGCGGTCAACAGGCGGACTAAGATGACCATGTGACGGAGCGAGCGGCGTGGGCTTGCCGAGCTAGTACCGGGCTGCGGTCAACAGGCGGACTAAGATGACCATGTGACGGAGCGAATATCTTCGACCACTTCATTAACTCGCGTGTCTAGGGGGTAGCTGGGCTGTAGATGCCACCTGTGTAGTTCTCAGGGTGATATTTGGAACGGATTAGCGTCCCACGAACTCTTGACGTAATGGTGGAATTTCCATTGTTTGTGTCGCCGTAAATGTTAATCCGTCCAGAGCAGCGTTTTCCAACTTTTTAGGTATATCCACTTAAGAATGGATGGAGTTATGACTTTCCCTGAACCAAATAACAAAACTCTACGCGCGCATACTTGTTTTGCAAAAAGAGGCACACTTCTGAGCGGTTGGTAAATCGAAAGAAGTGTTCTAGACAGTGATTGTGGTCGGCTAACACATATTGAACTACAGCCTGTAACTCTTGGTATCTCGCTGAGTCTAGCTAGAATGTTGCGCAGAAATGTCAGGCATGCACACTGCAGAGGTGAGCCTAGTTAGAATGTTGCACATAGCGTTGATGGCGTCCACCGTTGCGATCGACTTGGGGAACTATGATGCCAGCAGCCTTGGCTGTCGAGAACTGCAAAGGGACCTGGAAACAGGCGGTACCAGGCTGCGAGGGCTCGCGACTGTATGGGGTTCACAAACCTGATGTGGGGAAAAGCCCAACAAGAGAGTAATGGACCTGGCTCGGCTGTAAGTCCTTAGCACTCCGAAATGTGCTGATGGCGACCGCTGCAGCTTTTCCCCAATCAATGTCATGGCCCGTCAACCAGCTGTTGTGCAATGGACCGATGCTGAGAGGGGCCACACAGCACAGATGACACGGACACGCAGGGTCACCTATTGATAGCATCTCTTACCTTGCTCGGCCTCTCGGGTTCTGTGTCAGGCCTCCGCCCTGTTCGCCACCAGAGCCTGTTATGCGCCGCAGGACGTGTTGTAACAGGACGCATGCACAGGAAAACGGGTCCGCATAATGTTTTTCAAACTCAGTGACAAACCTCAAGGCTGTAGAATGTCACTTTTAATAAAACTCCCGGGTGTCCCTACTGGAATGGATCTAGCATATAACGCAACAGGAGGAAGACTTGCTTGACGTAGGGAGACCGAAGCCATGACAGAGATGAGTATTCTGGAGTTAGGTGATATCCGATCCGATGTGACCCCAACATATTTGACCCCTTCAGTTTAGCCACGTCCTCGGCCAATCTGTACAGCACTTATTTCCGAGCGTGCGACCGTCTGTGCACATTTCTTTTGACAATGCCCAATGCACTAATTCCCGAGCGTGCGTCGATATGTCTGTTGCCATTTCTTCCACACAGCGGTACAGACGGCTGCAGGGATTGCCGTGTAATTGGAACGTACCACGGTTTGGCCTTTCGGGGCGATCAGCGACCTAAGGCGAGGCCTGTGTGGTGCCGCTGTTGTCGCGATATGCATGAGAAACAGCATGAAAAGCCAAGGCCATCGGAAGTGTACCGCAAAGCCCGAGGAGTGATGGGCGTACCATCACCATTCGATGCACACGAAAATAAATTCATAAGATGTTACCATGCATAGGCGTTGCTACATGGACGTTGGGTCCGAAACCCCCAGGACTGTTAGCAGCTAGGACATATTCACTTGAAATACACAGTACCTTATTAGCATATCATCTGATATCATGTCGCTAGTGTCAACGCTACAGGCAACAAAAATACCGGTTTTGTTTTTTCAGCGCAACTGATAATAGTAATAGATTCAGCGAAGCTAATGACAAGAGCTTGCCTTCTAATTCACCAATCGTCGAGAATCTACGCTTGTCTGTGCGTATTCAAGTGGACAGATGTGTGGGTTTTCAAAATGAAATGGGGGCTGAGCAGTGAAAAGGCGCATTCTCCCCCGTAAATACACCAACAATCGGACTTCTCCCCGTCTTTGGCACACATTCTTCTTAAAATGGGGGGCTGTAGCTCAAAGTGAGGGAGGGGGCTCAAACCCTCGGCTGAACAGGAAACCACGCCCCTGCAGAATAGAACTGGCGGCTTTACGCGTTGCCGTGAATTTGCACATACGACGGCTTCAATCTACATGCGATCGGCCCATGATCCTCAGCATCAATCCATGCGATCGGCCCACAATTCACGACATCAATCCATGCGGTCGGCCCATAATCTGGCCCATCAATCCGTGCGATTGGTCCACGATCGGAAGCATCAATCCATGCGAGCGGCCCACGATTCGCAGCATCAATTCATGCGATGGCCCACAATCCACAACATCGATACATGCGATCCGCTCATGATCCGCGCCATCAATCCATTTGATAGGCCCATGATCCGCAGCATCAATCCATGTGATCGGCTCACGATCCGCGACATCAATTCATGCGATTGGCCCGCGATCCGCGACATCAATCCATGCGATCGGCCCACAATCCGCGACATCAATCCATGCCCGTCCAATACCGGTATCGCTCACAGCGCACAAGAGGGGAACTTTTAGGCTTTCAGCAGAGATGCTTTACTTGCATATGTAGAGAAAAGAGATTATGCAGGGGACAAGCCGTTGAAACGCAGCCCTTGAAGACATATTGTACTTGACATAAATAAGAAATGCATTCAGTTCCTGGTTTTTCGGCGTTATGAGATCAGACTTCCTGTCCTGGATTACCTCACTGGCATGCTTTGTTAACACCGAAGTGTGCGTGACCTTTGAATTGTGTTTATGAACTTGCAATTTTGATTAAACGTTGCGTTCCTTTTCTAAGCGAAATTATGTTGGTTTGCATTGCTGCGAATAAGTCTGCTGAATCTTTGCCAGATACCTCCCAGAGCTGTGTGGATTTTTGATAATGGTAAAATTGACTTCCTGTGAACATCGCAAGATAGACGTGACATTTGAATGAGGTATAGAAAAAGACGCCTGCTAATCCGCAGAAAATGCTGCAGAGCAACTTCGAAACGTGTTTCGCCTCCCAAACTCTTTGGAGTCCCGCATGTTCACATGATAGATAAAAGACGGGCTCTAAAAGACGGGCTCTAAGGGTTGCCATGTGCGGGCTCCCCGCGTGATGCAAGCGTCAAGGAACACATGGAAACCTCCGACCAGCAAATAGCACTAAATTATTCTATCGCTTCAAGGGTAGCAGGCATTTTATCAGGGACATGACGTTCCGTTGGTTATGGCGTGGTGAGACAGATACGTGGTGGGGTGCATCATTAAGACCTGCCAGCAAATTTGAGGTCCCAGCAATGCTCCAGCGTGTCCGCCTTCCGGCAAGGCGCCTTACCACGTGCTGGTTCACATGCTATTATCATCTGGTTACATCATGTCATGTCATTGGGGCTTTACGACGCACTCGGCTGCTGAGGCTATATGGCGTTGCCTGCCTCTCACCCCGAAAGGAAGGGCGGGCACCGTGGGGATTCGAACCCAGTACCTCTGGTTTCCCAGATGTGCAGTGGTTAACGCAGACGCGCTAACCACTACACTACCGGCACCCCCATCTGGTTACATCATCACTCAACGTTGAGGACATGTGAAGCTTGAGTATGCTTGTCTCTATTCTTAGCTAAAGCTTTGTGTCCCGTGGTTCCGTCCTATAACCGCTGTCTCCTATGCTCAGCTTATCGAACGATCAAGCTAGACGTATGCATGATACATACAGAAGAAGTCTTCCGTTTATAAACGTAATGGGGCCAAGGCCACAAAGCGCTCACTTTCCCGCAGAATTTCTTTATAAACGAGCCATTATGAACGCTATTTGGTCAGCCCGGTCTGGCTCCATCCAAAGGAAAAAGAGGAATGCCATTTTCCTACCTGGTGATGACGTTTCAATGGGCAGGGCTGATTCATCTCCAGCTGGAACAGTTGTGGGCAAGGGGCCTGTTAACTGCAGAGCTGGTGACGGGATAAGGTGTTGAGTGAACCGGATAGCAGGTGGAACGGAATTCGAGCAGTGGCAAGCTGTTTTTAACGTGGGAATAGCTGTCTACACAATGACCGTCTCATATCATAACATATCGCCCGACATATAAGGGATGTTTCACACTTGTCGATATTGAGGTAAGCATGAGATATGATAAAATGAGTTCACTTATAACTATTAGTATACTTTTAAGTACAAAATGCTGTTCTAGACAACACGACTCTCCGTCTAGTAAATATGCTCCCCGATACGCCATCGTTTGATTACGTCATTGTACCACGCACAACATTGGCTGGGGGCCAATTGATGACCATCATGTCTGGGAATCGTGTTCATGAGCCCCAGCCATGAACGACTCGACCGTCCTATTTTTATTGGCATTGATCGCCATGTGGCTTATGGAATCGCAGGATTTGAATGGCGTTAGTGTGACGTCATGACTGCCAAGGTAACCTTGACACACTCCCTGAAATACTCTCCTCATCTTCGCGGGTGTGTAGCTCAGAAACTAGAATGGCATGGGCCTAATGAAGGCCAGGACTGTGAACCGCACCGAATGATGTTCAATATGGCTATTTCTGTTCAAGACCCCATGGAAGTATGGAGCACTCCCTTTAAACTAAAAATCGCTGCTCAGAGGCCCCCCGAACACAAAATGCTGCAGCCTGGTTGGCACGTCTCCAGCTGACCGCCACGGCTGGGGAGGACACGCGAGCCGTCAGATGACGCGGCGAGGGCCGGACGGGGCGGGGCGGGGCGCATGCGCCGGCAGCAGAGCAGCGTGGGGGTGTGTCCATCGCCGTCGGCGCGCGCATTGTCGCAGTTGGCGCTGCGTCGGTGAGCGGCCGCATCCACGTCGATAAGTCGGAGGTGGCGGCCCACTGTCGGAGGCCGTGAGATGGCTGCGCACGTGCTGAGAGGGGCGCATGTGGTGCGTCGGCTGGCTCTGCAGCGACGGACGGCAGCGGCGGCGGCGGCGGCGACGCCGCCGGCCGTCCGGAAGTCCACCCAGGCCACAGAGCTGTCGGCGGCCGGCACCAAGTACGGACCGCAAACGGACGAGCTTGACCTGACCTTTAGCGACACGCGCGCGGCGTTCCAGAGCAAAACCACATGGGAGGTGCTCAGGGGCTACCTGGTGTTCACGCTCTGCAGGTCCCGCTACCTCGTAGACAACAATGCCAAGGTGAGTGGGACGCTGGGCTGGCGCTGGTTCGACTGTGCTCAAATGCAGGTGGCAGAAATTCGGTGCGACGAGCACGTGCGACGATGAGCATCGCGGAGTTCTTGCTGCAGGTGCCGTGGGGCCTTGCTGACGTGGCGGTTGTACACATGGGGTGCAAGGGTGTTTCAGTATACATTGGCATCTGCTGGCGGTTGCTTCCTAGGTGCGACAGACTAGATGCTAGCATTTCAGTGTATCGCTCGGCATTAATAGCCTTCACGGAGCAGAACTGGTGATTGGGCGGCTAACATCAGACGGAAGCAGTGGTCGAGTTACAGCAGACGCCTGCTGACGGATGGGACGCCTCGGCGATGTCATCGATTCCCGATGGGACTCGCTTGATTCAGCTCCTTCAGTCACGCCGTGCTTTTATGCTCCCCTGCTGACGGAGGGGCGTGACCAAGGAAGGAGACAGGCACTCTCATTGCTCTGACAGTTGTGCACCAAGGCCTCGTTGTGCTCCTATTGGAGATGCAATGGTTGCTGGGCATCAGACAAAGAAGTCATTTCAGACGCATGGGTGCCGGCTCGGAGTCTGCGACGCTTGTCGGATGTCGTCGCTGGTACCGACTTCCAACGCATTCAGTGCAGGCCAACATTGCCTCGTACCGGCGCTTCCTGGTACCACCGACCTGGGTACCATTCGGCATGTCCGGAAGTGATGCAGTACTAGCTTTTACACCGGAGTACCACAGCACTGTATCTCTAGCGATGTTAGCAGCTCACCTTGACTTTCCGGCTTGATTCGATGGGACATTATCTCTAGAAACGTGTTATATGTATATTCCACTCGTTTGGAAAGGGATGAAGTGGCCTGGAAATAGAGACGAAAATGTTTGCAGCTGAGACATTGGGTACCGGAATAAAACACTGTGACGGCTGCCAGAACCTCATCGTCCTGCCCAAGTGCCAGACTTACCACGTGAGCATCGGGACAACAGATCTCAGAAGCGGCGCGGAGCCGTGGCGGTGTTATTTCCAAACGGAATAGGTATTTGATCAATAAAGATTGGGAAAACGAAAACAAAAATGGTTCTCTTCACCTTGTTGACGGCGTTTCGACTAATTAATTCCCTTGCCAAAACCAGCATATAGGTTTGAAGCATAACCTATAAATAGAAGGTGGGTTCAGTCCTCCGACCAATCCGACATCAGATTAGAACAAAAAAGTTTTTCAACAGAAGCTGTCCCTTTTTTGTGAAAGCCTGCCGAACGAATTGTTGTCTGGCATGGCGCGATGGACAGAGATCAACTATGGCGTTCTGCAGTATAAGTAATCGTTTATTTATCCCACGCTTTACACTGCGGGCTTCTCCAGATTTTTCATTGTAAATTCAGTTGAAATGTTCATAAATCTATTAGCACATGTCTATTAGTAAATTTGTGTTACATAATTACCATTACAGCTAGCTTGGAATGAATGAGTGGTTAGATTAATTGTGCAAAGGTTCGTAAAGGGGAAGTGTCGAAAAAGCAAGTAATTCTTTACGTTACCGAAGTCAGTATAATGCATGCAACAAAAAAGTCAGCCATCGCGTGCCCCCTGACGCAGCATGTGACTGAGAGTGAGAAAATCTCGCAGGGTGGTCAGTCTTCACCGAGACAACCATGGATCAACAACGCACTGTTTAAAATGACCCAGTTACGACACCCAGTCACCCTTTGCATTACCGGCTTCTTTTTTGTGCACTCATTCATTGTCACAACTTTTTGTTATTGTATGTTTCACCGTGAAAATAAACCTTCGGCCAGCCGCCTTTAATGTCAGGACGACGAAAAACCGTTCTCAGATTCCAGTACATGCATAAAATCGATACTAGTGGCTAGACAAGAACCTGCAATGAACATTAACTAATCTGAAGCTCATGCTGCTCGCACCAAAGACACTTCCAAAATCATGACCGAAGAACAAACCGCCGTCTGTCCTCATACTTAAGTATTGTTGACAGATACTGACGCTCGCTGCGACACAAGATACTAAGCTGCACCTACCTTTACCTTACGACAAAGGACACCTTACATCGATGTACCTCTGGGCGCAAAACACTCCGGACACGAAAGGCCACAAAAGACATCAAATTACTTTACTTTTCCACTGCATTGCCATGTACAAAGGACCCCTTTTAGAGGTCCAGCACTATCACCGTTTCCCCTCAAACGAGCCGGACATGCAGCCCGGTGTTGCTTTTCGGGAAGCTGGTGTTTACATTGGGTTTTGGTCATACATACTTTGGTCGGAGGCAATGCGGATTCCGGGTGCCTGCTCACGGGCGCTGTAGATGTGTCAGCCTGCCCACGGCGCTGTAGATGTGTCAGCCTGCCCACGGGCGCTGTAGACGTGCCGGCGTGCCCACAGGCGCTGTAGACGTGCCGGCGTGCGCTGTAGACGTGCCGGCGTGCCCACGGGCGCTGTAGACGTGCCGGCGTGCCCACGGGCGCTGTAGACGTGCCGGCGTGCCCACGGGCGCTGTAGATGTGCCGGCGTGTCCACGGGCGCTGTAGATGTGTCAGCCTGCCCACGGGCGCTGTGGACGTGCCGGCGTGCCCACGGGCGCTGTAGACGTGCCGGCGTGCCCACGGGCGCTGTAGACGTGCCGGCGTGCCCACGGGCACTGTAGATGTGCCAGCGTGCCCACGGGCGCTGCAGACGTGCCGGCGTGCCCACGGGCGCTGTAGATGTGCCAGCGTGCCCACGGGCGCTGTAGATGTGCCGGCGGGTTCCGGCCACGATGAACATCCCGATGCCCGATGAAGCTATCTTGCCTCGTCCAGAAGCCATCGCCCTGCTGGTGATGCCCGTCATGACAGGGATGGGGTGGTGCCTTCAGCGACAAGGGTGGCCTAATGGGGATGGCATGAGCGGGTAGGTGATAAGGCTCGAAGCGAATGATTAAGTCAGGTTGGTATGGGATTTCGAACAGATACGACTAGACCGAACAGTCAGCCATGCGGAAAGATCCGTGACTAGCATAGCGTGCCCACAGGATAGCAGTGTAACGTTTGTTGGCTCGATGTTTCAGCTTTTGAGCGTACCGCGCTGGCCGGCGCGAGCCTGTCGGCCGTCGTCAGGCGAGCTGTCACGCCCCGCTTGCCTGCGCCACCACTTGCCTGCCTTATATGCGGCAGACCTGAACATGCTAAACATGCACAGAGCCGCGTTATCTGCATCATGCACTCGTGTCCAGAATTTAGATGAGTTGTGTATCAAAGTGTTCTGGTGCTCACGGGGGCCCGTGCCGCAGCCCAGCTGACACGTACGTGACCCCTCTGAGTCTAACGTAAGCAGCGGGCAAGAGCATGAGAATCATACTGATAGCGGGATTGGCAAATGTACGAGATACGCCGCCCGGTACGGTCAGCAGATCCAGAGGATCTCACCTCACACATCCGGAATGGTGATCCATTACCAAAAGTCATTTGTCCACCGTCTGTGCCGCATTTTCTTGATCAGACTCAGAAGCTAAGTGTTGGGTGAGGCTGCTGAGATAAGCTAAGCAATTGTATCTGAGTGGTGTAAGATGAAAAACTGGCGTTATTTTGGAAATCCAATTACCAGCGCTTCCAGACGTTTTTGAAGCCATCCACGGGGTGGCGCGTTTCCAAACAGCTTTTGCTCCATTTGTTAACCACACGGATTGAACATGTTGATATTGGTAACGTGACGTTTCAAACGTTTCACCCCGTAATTATGCGCATTCTTCACCAGTCCGGTGGACGCGTCGGCATCCTTCTCCTTTCCCCTCCCCTTGCCTCTCAGGTTTCAGGACCCACGGACGAGAGCGTTGGCAGGCGGTCGCAGGCCAGTCGGTTCGAACCGGCTGAAACTGGTTGCGCTGCTGTCGCCAGAAAGACGATCCCGGTATTTCTGACGTTTGAGCGTTGGCAGACCCATATGAGGAACGCGTATGTTGTAGCGTATGTTTCGTGTGTGCGCCCGAACTAACCGACCGTCGTTTAAATGTGTCGCGCGTGTCATGTCATTAAGCGCGTGTCATGTTTCTTTCACTCGTGACATAATCTGCACTCGGTCCCATTGGCGTGCCTTCCAAAATACCGCCAGAGTTAATGACAGATCACCTGCATCCCCTAACCTTGTCAAGAAGACGGGCTTGCACATGATTATGTTTCCTATTAGCGACTTTGCATATTTGCAGACCTCCTTTGAACAGCCGAAACCATGTGACAGCCTTCAAAGTTTCTGCTAAAATCGCTCAACCTTGAAATACACCAAAGTCACTTTTTATCGAAAGGCGCGCATATCCTATGTGTATGCCCTATTGCAAGGTGAATACTGCACATGCCAACTGAAGTGGCCAAAGACAAAAGCCGTTTGGATGTGAGAATGATGTGTGGGGTATACTAAAAGTGCCTCTTAAGGATTCAGTGGAAGTAGTTATTCCCAATAAATGTGAATTCACAGCTTATTGATTAGTTAATTCATTGATGATCGTAATGCAAGGAGAGCGCACAAGCAAGCGCTCCTGGGATGACGCCTACGTTTGTTCATGTGAAAGCATGCAATTTTGAGAGGAAGGCGTACTTTTTGGATGAAAGAACATTCTGCCAACGACATGAACGCATCGAAATAAAACCGATAAAGTTGTATAAAAGTGAGCATGTAGCAAAGACGTACGAGATACTCGCATTGCACCGTCTATTGCCTAATTATTGCCTAATTAGTTGTAGAAGTAGTAAAATATTGCCTTATTAGTTGCATAACATTAAGCAACGTCAAAATTTCAGTGGCATGACTAGTCCAGAGAACTCCATAGAGGTTCGGGATGAACAGGATGCGCTGCTCTGCGGCACCACGGCAACACCGAGCATGGCATGCTGCAAAACAACGTTATTTATGTGTTTTTTGCGCAGAGGGGAGTGTATTCTTGAAATCGTTCCCCTGAACTTTTGAATGTGGCCATGGCTGGCATGGGCCTTTGGAGCCGTAATGCCATGTGACGTAGAATGTCATTCCTGATGGTGAGTATTGTTCATGTTAGATTGCATTAGGCGTTTGTATAGGAGGGTGCGTCGGGAGAGTAAAACTTGTAGGTAACAGAAGGAAAACTAATGCAAGTCTAAAATTCTCGCTAATGTCGTCAGTTATGATAAATGTGTGGATGAAGGTACTTGGATTGGATATAAACATGGTACATGATGGAACATGTGCCTTGCCATGCCCTCGCTTACAAATGAAAACACTTTTTGATTTTGCAGTACTATTGATAGCTAGGTATAAGCTAGATAGCTAGGTACGCTTTGCAACATGATAGACATAACATGAACCAGGCGGATCGCATGTAATAATGCTGTACCACAGATACACGGATAGTGCAGTAACAGTATACCACAGTAACACAGATAACACTGTACTACAGATACACGGATAGCACAGTAGCAGTGCACCACAGTAACACAGATAACACTGTACCATCGTATTTGAGCATGCGTGCATAGATGGTGCTGAATTAGTGTAAAAAGTATTCCATGGACAGGATATGGCACAGTTCTACGAGCGCTCTTCGCTGCACAATAAAGGTGCTGTCCCCACACAGCTGTCAGTGGCGTGTGTTGCGCTCGCGGCAACCGCCGGTAGCACGCATTCGCGCTCGCGGGTGTACGAATGCTACCACGGGTGGCACTTGGCCAAATAGCTGGCATTAGCGATGGACATGTCATTAACGTTTATAATGGCCAATACTTTGACACTTGTCTTAAGTCGTTTGAGGTTAAGGCTGCCTGCAGTACAATCTTAAAATTTGCACGAATCTGGCCTTCACGATGTCATATATTGAGCCTCGATTACTGGAATGTGTCAGCGGTGACCTCGGCATCTTTGCGATCGGTGTCTCATGATTTGAAATCATGAAAATCGCTCAGAGTAAAATTTTTGTCTTTTTCAAGATATCATTAACAGCTTTTACGAAATGGACGCATGGTATGCAAAGCAATGCTCTCGACCTCCTGTTGTTACACTTATGTTGATTTTATTCGGTTTTATATCTACGGCTCAAGGAGAACTCCATAGACATGGAAAATGCACATTTTGTGGTTTAGCCACGTTTAAATGAACCTTTCAAGCTAACCACGTCAAATAATTGAAAACCTCCGCTGAAAGAGCCCTGCGACGAGGGAGCATCAGCTGCCTGGTGAATCTGGTGGAGAAAGAGCCCTGCGACGAGGGAGCATCAGCTGCCTGGTGAATCTGGTGGAGAAAGAGCCCTGCGACGAGGGAGCATCAGCTGCCTGGTGAATCTGGTGGAGAAAGAGCCCTGCGACGAGGGAGCATCAGCTGCCTGGTGAATCTGGTGGAGAAAGAGCCCTGCGACGAAGGAGCATCAGTTGCCTGGTGAATCTGGTGGAGAAAGAGCCCTGCGACGAGGGAGCATCAGCTGCCTGGTGAATCTGGTGGAGAAAGAGCCCTGCGACGAAGGAGCATCAGCTGCCTGGTGAATCTGGTGGAGAAAGAGCCCTGCGACGAGGGAGCATCAGCTGCCTGGTGAATCTGGTGGAGAGTATTAGTTAAGGAAGCCGGTTGGGGTTCGCGCCGAAGTTCTCTCCCACCCTGTGGAAGGATTCAGTTAGATGACAATCGAAGCCCAGTTTTGGGCCTCGCAATCTTGTATTCCACTGCAAACTATCTTCGCAATTATCGCATGTAAGAAGTAACAACTATTTGTTCGCTTGGAACAGCATTCCTGCTTTCGAACGTCTGCTGTTGTGCAAATTGATCTATAAAGTCAGATACAGATGCTTGTTATCACCCACGACCGCAGTGGGGAACATTTACACTCGATTTTATTATGTGCCAAGGTGGCGCCAACTTAAGACTATGCAAATGAAATGGTATGTTTGCTGAGCATAATTGAAGTCGGTCTAATGCTTGAAGAAGTTGAGGGTAGGTGTTAATAGCAATGTGTATATCAGCTGCAGAACATTTCGAGCTTCGTAGAGTTTTACTCTGGAGTCGTTAATCGGAAGCTGTATCCTATATTCTGGTGTCCCGCTGGAACACAGGCTTGGACTAGGCATGAATGAGCTCGTCAGACCATTTCATTTGCTCAGGAGCCTCCCCAGTTAACGCATGCGCAGAAACGGATCTCCCAGTGTGGCTCCGGACGTCGTAAGTCACAGGCCAGCTTGGCACGGCGGGCTCTGTACATTATGCAGGAATGCCACACGACATCACACAAGTGAAAGCTTACCTTGGCATCATGCCACCATGAAATCCTGGCGGGAAATATCTGAAATAGCTTGCATCGCGCGGGCATTTGGCATGCAGTTCAAGCTGTTCGAGCTTTGATGCAACTTACCGTTGGCGGCATGCTAGCTGCAAGGATAGCACCTCTTGTTCACCAACGTCACTCAGCTTCTGAAGCATTGCTGGGACACTGTCTCTGCAGCTAGATGCCAGTGTTTTGAATCGCCGTCTGAATCGCCGTGGCGGAGCGGATATTGAATCTCCCAAGGCTAGAGCAACTTAGCCCCTCCCCAGTCCTTGTGTTCGGTTCACTTACCATGTGGTAATGTGCCCGGCCTGTTCCAGCTCATGAAGCTGTTCCGGAAGGTGCTCGGTCGCCAGCTGTTCCACACTGCTATGAGGTCCACCTTCTACGGCCAATTTGTGGCCGGCGCCGATCAGGTGAGTTTCGATGGCTTCAGACGGCGCCGATGCTGGGCTCAGGACTGTGACTGCCGTCTCACACACCGTTCTTCCTCCGGCCACGGCCAGCTGCTCCCCTCTCGCAGACAAGCGCGGGATTCCGCTCGCATAGCATTGGCTCCGATCCCGACCAACAGTCTACTTGGTTATTCCGACTCCGGCCAGCACAAGGCATGTCTGATCGGTAATGGTTCTGGCTCAAAATAGTGTGGCTCGATTCGAGAATCGGCTCCGATTAGTTCGGTTTCGGTGGCATCAGCTGAGCGCACGCTCGATGATGCGATAAGACAACGTGGGGAAGCTGGCAGTGATCTCAGCAATCCGTCCCACACAAATTTTCGGAAAACTTGTGAGCCCTGCGTTTAGTTTCTTTGATTAAAAGAACAGCACTATACAGTTGGAACAGATAGGGCTGCTAGAATGATAATACGAGTTGCTTTAATATATATTTGAGCAGAGCCATCTACGATTCCACCCGGTGCGGTTGACTCCCCTTTGACACCTCCGGTGCGGTTGACTCCCCTGACACCGCTCCACACCAGTTTTTGAATGAAGCGATTCCGTCTTCGGTGACCGAGCGAACTACGGCTAGTTCCGAAGTCGGCTCCGACTGCCCCTAAATATAAGTTGAGTCTGCCTTTCTGGCAGAGTTTTACCCGAGTCCGGCTTTCCTTGACCGCCCTTTGAAATTTGCAGGGACTAGTGTGATATCATAACAACCTAAACGGTGCACTTAAGATATGCACCCACATATTTTCGATGGCTTTACTATTGAGTGAGTTCCAGACTCGTGAAAGATGGATTTGTTTATTCCAGAATGATATTCGTCCGTCAATTGAACGCATGCGTTCTTTTGGAGTCAAGTCCATTCTTGACTACTCTGTTGAAGAGGACATCAGCGCAGAAGAAGCTGAGAAATCTGAAATGCGGTAAGTCTTCAGGCCTCTGTCCTTCATGCAAGTTAAAGAGTACGAAAATAAACATTTCATAACTATCGCGTGCAGGCTTCCGCGCTAACATACCCAAAACACCCGGTACCCATGAAGTGCACTTATGATTATGCTCATGCCCACCCGCTAGTCAGTTATTATCAGTTGCACCCATCCGTTGCCTACCCATTTTCTTTTTTTCGGTATTTAGTGTCTAAATTTTGGAAAAGCTTCCGGAAAGCTTACGCCCAAGTTATCACGGTTTAACTAGCCGCTGTGCGCCGCGTCACAGTTTGACTAGCCGCTGTGCGTGACGCTACAGTTTGACTGGCCGCTGTGCGCGGCTTTACAGTTGGATTAGCCGCTGTGCGTGGCGTTACGGTTTGACTAGGCGCTGTGCGTGGCTGGCCGAGGCAAGCCAAGGCCGCCGCCACCCTTCTGGCGATCGATGACAACTGGCCATCAATGACGAGGGCGGAGTTCTCCGTAATGGCAGTTCGAGGGCAGAGTTCTCCCATATCGGCGCTGGAGGGCGGCCGGACCGCCGCCAGCGCAGGCGCCGCCCGGTGTTCCCCTCAGCGCCATGCCGACCTTGAAAATTTGGGGCTTCGTCCATCTTTGCACGAAACAATGCAAAATATATCTATACAGGCAGCGAGATCAACGTAACTAGACTCCCAACTTTGAATTTCAACATTTTAGATATTAGAGGCGAGCGTTCAATATTTTGGTGAGGAAAGGCAAACCTTTGCTTGCGTTTTTTCACCACGTTTTCTTGGTGAAGTGGTCATGCTCTATGCTGTTAAGTTGTTTGATAGCATACAAATGACTGGTAAACTACTTACGCTTATCGATATCCCGGGAACTTGTTTTACCCTTGTCCGACCAAATGTCATGTTATGCGACGCAAGGCGCCACCCGCAATGTCTGTATTTTAGTATGTAACCGAGAACAGACGAGCCTGGCACAAAAAGCGCGTCTACGTCAGGCGCTTGTTTGCTCTTTGTCCCGTTTCCTTGTAAGCGGCGGAGCCCCATACGCCACACAGCGCCATAAAGTGGACGATGGGAATGTCGCACAAGGGTGGCGTATGTGGGGAGCGAGGTCGCTGTCGCGTATGTGGGGGGTGAGGCCGCTGTCGCGTATGTGGGGAGCGAAGTCGCTACGCCCGAACACATGTACGCATCTGGACGCTGCTCGTCTGGCCGTCTGTTGTGACGCGGGATCTCGGGTCGGCAGGGCCTGCGCCAAGCCGGAGGAGCTGGAGCGCTCCGGTGAGTCTAGCCAGGGTCGGGTGTGCTGGCCGTCCTGCGTGCTGGGACTGGGTCACTAGGCCATGACTCGGTCTGGCGGGCGGCCAGCGGCGCCAGACTCAAACGCAGCCCTACTGCGACGTTGAAGTCGGCCGTGACCACCGCCTCGTTCCGGGGAGGGGGAGGGGGAGGGGGAGGGGGCAGACAGGGCAGGCACCGCGCGGCGGCGCAGTGTGCACTGGCGTGAGCGCAATTGGTGTCGAAAGTGCTGAGCTCTAGAGCGCCTCATTGGACTCCGGAACGATAGCCTCCGATCGGTAAACAATGTCATGCCTCTTACGAGGGAACTATTTCCATCACATGTTATGTGTCACATGGCGTTTGTAGTTTGATATATGATGCATGAACATTTGAATGTTTGATACAGGGATGTAGGTCACCATTTATTCGCCTAAATATTCGATGAGAGGTCTGATCACCGTATACCATCTAGGGCCGTATGTGCGAGGGCGGGGCCAGAGTCGGTCGTATTCTTGACTCGTTGACGTCCGGTTGGTTTCGCCCCCATGTCAACGCGTGCCTGTTGCCGGTGCGACCGTTAACTATTTAACACTGGATTCATTCAATGGTTGACGTTGACCGTGAAGTCCGCCGGCAGACTCTGAGTGCGCGCGCCGCCGCGGTACAAACGCTGCCGCAGCCCGGCGCTGAGGGCCGTACGGCCAGCGCACCGCAGACCGTTATCAGACGTATGACGATGCACAAACAAACTCGGACGCCGGTGCAGATTGTAGCCAAAGAGCTGTCGCATTTTTTGCTTGGCTAAATTACCCCAGACGCAACCATGAAAGTCCATCGTACCGTACACGGGCTGTCACAACAGAGTAAGAAATGCCGCCAGCGTTATGCGGGGAAGGTTTCAACTCATGAATGTTTAACTGGGCCTTGTTATCCCAGCAGATATAGGATACTGATGGGCTTTGCAGTGTCAGTCCATGACAACTCACGCTGTTCGCTGGGCGGAACAGCTGCGCCGACAGCAGAGCGCGCTATGTAGGTCCGCCCTGGCGTAAGTCTCCAGGCCACGTGGACGGTAGCGGGGCTGCATTCCTGGCAGTCGGTGCTGACAGCGGCGCTGTCACCAGCGCGGGCCGACCCGATGGCGCGGTACCAGGCACACCGCGAGTTCGCCGACCGCCGCTCGCAGGTACAGAGCGCGCGCACCTACTTCTACATGAACGAGGCCCAGTGCGAGAAGAACATGGACACCTTCATGAAGAGCATCGAGGCTGTCTCGGGTGGGTGCGGGTGCCAGCGGTAGCCGGGCTCGTGTTGTGGTGCGCCCTCCCAGTACTCTCCAGTCAGTGGCGAAGTGCTCCGGTCACTGCGCCGGCCTCAGCGGGGTGCTCCAGTCACGGCGTCGGGCTCGGCGGGGTGCTCCGGTCATTGCGCCGACCTCAGGGGGGGTGCTCCGGTCACTGCGTCGGGCTCGGCGAAGTGCTCCGGTCACTGCGTCGGGCTCGGCGAAGTGCTCCGGTCACTGCGCCGAGCTCGTCGGGGTGCTCCGGTCACTGCGCCGGGCTCGGCGAAGTGCTCCGGTCACTGCGTCGGGCTCGGCGGAGTGCTCCGGTCACTGCGCCGGGCTCGGCGAAGTGCTCCGGTCACTGCGTCGGGCTCGGCGGGGTGCTCCGGTCACTGCGCCGGGCTCAGCGGGGTGCTCCGGTCACTGAGTCGGGCTGGTTTGACCACAATGCTGGACGGCCGCAAATATGCGTGCGCGTGGATGACGGACATTTGTGTGCATGATAGACAAAGGTATACATCAGCGTTTGGCTTTGCTGTGATGCTAGCCGCGCAGAAGTTTCCCGGTACGTGACAGCTCGCCTCTTTTCGACTTGTTTAGGATCTGATGCGGAATGTTTCCCTTAAAATTGTCCGTTACATTGTTTTACAATATCCAGGGGACACTGGGTCTTTTGTATCATGCATATTCATGCATAATTACGAAAACTGGCCCTGTCTGAGCGTCACATGTAACGCCGCCCTATTCTCTGCGTCCAGGATCAACTCAGTGCACCGGACTGGCGGCGATCAAAATGACTGCACTGGGTCGGCCCCAGCTGCTGGTAAGTCCATCCATGGCGTATGGATGACTGCACTGGGTCGACCCCAGCTGTTAGCAAATCCAGCCATTGGGTCGGCCCCAGCTGCTGGTAAGTCCTACCATGGAGTATGGCTGCCGTGCCTCTCTCCCGGAAAACCGTGCTTGTAAGCACGCTGTCTACGGACTCCCTGTCATGCTTGTGTCGCTATCGTATCCTCATTGAGCCGTAAGAGATGCGCCGCTGACGCACTGCGCTGACGCACTGGGTCTGGATGACGCAAGCCCAATATTAATGGATAAAAAGCGATAAATAACACAAGGAGCGCTGTGTGAGTGTAAAGCGGCAGTTTGTTTACAGTAATTCATCACAGGAGTGTCACATCGAGCGTTTGATGTGTTACCAACGCCATTTGAATCGGAGGCTGCCGTGTGCTTGTATTCATGTTGAGAAGTATGTTATGTGCCATCCACATGGTGCTTTCCGTCCTCGTAGCGCAAGTCGTCTGTGGATGAGCCCCAGACTCCAGACTCATGGCGCGTCTGAGTGTGGTCATCCTCCGGACTGGGGAGTACCGGGAAAGGGAATTCCTGACGTCTGAGTGTGGTCATCCTCCGGACTGGGGAGTGGCGGGAAAGGGAAGTTCCTGACGTCTGAGTGTGGTCATCCTCCGGACTGGGGAGTGGCGGGAAAGGGGAGTTCCTGACGTTTGAGTGTGGTCATCTTCCGGATTGGGGAGTGGCGGGAAAGGGGAGTTCCTGACGTCTGAGTGTGGTCATCCTCCGGACTGGGGAGTGGCGGGAAAGGGGAGTTCCTGACGCTGCTGTTCTGCTCGCTTGAACTCTGTGAGGAGTTACACTGCTAGCTGGAATGTGATGCGATTGGTGGGGAAAACACGGGCGTTACCAAGACGTCCCAGCAGACCGACATTGTATTAGCTCAACAGATAAATGATAGTCACGCTCTGTATTGCCTGTTCCCAGCTGTAGCGCAAATGCAGTTTTCTGAAGCTTGTTTCCTGTCATACATCGCTTAAGGCCCACTGCTCAATCACAAGAAGATGTGAATTGCTCTGTTCGACGCCCGCACTCCATCTTGTGCCGTCGGACGTACATGCTTATATGCGCGTGGACGTTTGTTGGAGAGCATGATGAATATGTGAAGTGGGGATGTGAAGTGAAGATTCAAGTGGGGATGAAAGAAGCGAATGATACAGATAAGACAACAAAAAACACTTACAGATGATACTCAGGATGCAGGCAAACATAAGTGGTAAACAAGGCTCAGGACAGACAACAAGGCAAATTTATAAACAGCGACAAAGAGGAAGCTGAAAGGAATAAAAAGAAAACGGGTGAGGCTTGAAGCGCCATCCCATGCCTGGGCGAATCTTATCTGTCCATGCACGCTTGACGGACGTATCAAGGGCATGCGAGCGCTGCTCTGGCCTCCGAGTGAGGTGATCCCGCGAATGCGGCTCTGACCCGTCTCCCTGTGCCGATGACAGATGCAGCTGAGTGAGGTGATCCCGCGAATGCGGCTCCGACCCGTCTCCCTGTGCCGATGACAGATGCAGCTGAGTGAGGTGATCCCGCGAATGCGGCTCTGACCCGTCTCCCTGTGCCGCTGACAGATGCAGCTGAGTGAGGTGATCCCGCGAATGCGGCTATGACCCGTCTCTCCTGTGCCGCTGACAGATGCAGCTGAGTGAGGTGATCATGCGGACGAGGCGGTACCTGGCTGAGCTGGCCGGCAGCTCGCAGGCTACGGACGTCATCAGTCAGGACGTGTCGCTCGCCACTGTCGAGGACCGACTGAAGGGCGCCAACAGCCCTGAGATCCAGCAGTGGATCAACGGCCTCACCTACGACCAGAAGGGGTGAGCGGGCCGGCGGCGGTGGGGACGCAGGAGGGCGAGATGCGGCGGCGGACTGAGGCGGTGCTGCCCTGTCGTCGGCGGTCGTTTGATGTGCTAGTCTCGCTCTGCATGAAAGCTGATCATATGTCCGATCGCTTGCGGTGCCCACGTAGCAGCGCAAGAGCTGCTGCGGCTCCACGCTTCAGCAGCGCGTCGGAGGTGGGATGGACAGACAGCTGGTCGGCATGTGGTGAACGCCTGCGGCGGCCGTACCGGTACCGCCCGGCCGGCTGGCCGGCGGCGCCGCCGCGCTCGGGGCGGTGGGCGCCCCCCCCCCCCTCCCCTCCCCTCCCCCGTGCTGGGAGTCAGTGGGCTGGACCGATCGACCCCGGCTCGGTGTGTTACAGCCGACGCCAGGCGACGATCACGGACGCCTCGCGGTCCAACACCGACCACCGGTAACGGCAGGCTCGCGGCGGCGCCCGCCACCCGCGCACCCAGGCATGCAACAAACTGCCTGACAGTGCACTATCGACGCTTTTCATTCGTGTGAAGGGATTTGCCTACGTGTTTTTCACGATGGAATATGTCGTTTTCAAAAAAGTGTGCCGGTTGAATGACTTTTTATTAGAGGCGCGCGGACTTACGCACGTTTTGACAAAGCAGTAATGTTCACGAGTTCTTCATAGCTTTTTGCTGATGAAATTTCTACCTATTACGACTTCCACTGATCTCAGGCAGTCCTGTGCTTGGCATTACTGCTTGGTCCTTTACACAATCGTTTACTTATGGGCACACCGCAACGGAACTAGTCGTTATAGGTGCTTTCGCCGGATGCTTTACCACTAAAACAACGGATGCTTTACCACAAAATTGTTAAGCTCTGTACTTTAGGAAATGTGCCAAATTGATAGGGACTACAAATGCTGAACCAGATATGTTATTAAAGCAGTAATGCTGCCGCCAGCTCACGATGGTGATGCTTGTCTGCCAGGCTCCCGCTGATCCCGCGCTCTCTTGCACGCAGGGCCGCTGCCGCAACTTTGCATGCAATGCCGTGCAGAAAATTGGTCACCTTTTTCACTTAAATATACCTACGACATTTTTCAGCGCGAAAAGACGCAAAGTGAAGCTCGTGGTGCATCTTATACTTGTTGAAGCACCGGCGACAGTGAGGCTTCCTCACTGGCATTTGCACGAAATTTGTATGCGTCCCAACAAACAAAACAAAAGAAAGTACAAACTGAGAATAACGCCCATTTTTATTTTACTTTTCATGACTTTGCACTGGCTTCCGCTCGTGATAAGCACTGCTTGGCCCCAGTTCGTAGCTCGTAGGCGCAGTCCGTGGCCTCAGCGCGAACGACTGGCTGGTAGCCCTGCAGGCGTGCCAGCGCCTCGTGAGTGTGGCAGTCTCTAGGGTATTGACCAATGCGGCAAATAACACTGCCCCGGCCCGGCAGTGCAGGCCACTTGTCGTTACATGACGGAGCACATCACAATGTCGGTTCCAGTCACGCGTGGTAACGGCCGTGCCGGTGAGAAGGTTTAAAAGTATCAAAAACGTCTCTGCGTTTTCAGGGCGATTCGCTCCGGGCCTTACATCCTGACCTGATTTACCAGGTTTACCAGCCGTGGGTCCACACGCGCCTGCCTCTGCACCGGCTCCCCTGCGATCATAGCTGTGCCTTCCCACCCCTGTTTGAAAAGCAGCGCACGTGTGTCTGTGGCGTTCGCTTGGGCGGTTTGCCGCACACGAGCAACAGACGTGCCAATGTGCTCGGCGTCCCGCACCCCGATGATTTCGCGTGGTCATCGGCACCCACGCCCTGACCGGACAGCGATCGAGCTGTTCGTGCCGACACAGGCAACGAATGCATGACTGTATGCACTCCCTATGATAGTCGCGCAAAATAAGCAAGTTTTACCGGTTGGTTGTTTTAGGTTCATTACGGTGGTTTGCCTTGCCTGCGAGCTCCATGTAAGCGTAGCTGTGTCACATTTGTTTTAGTGTGCATCGTATGATGTATACTTGTCCCATGCCAAAAAAATCAACTAAGCCAATGTGTCGTTATTATCCTGAGAGAAAAAAGCATCTTAACCGTCAGTACGGCCCATACCTGGAGGTTTCTTTATTGTGTTACGAGTTGGAAACCTACAACGCTGTCAGGTATCACTCATCCTCCTTATACAAAGGACACGTTAATGTTCTTGCACTGTGATCGCTTTATTGTATGTTACGTCCAGAACCACTGGCCGTGCAGCACCGGGCGCCGAGTCTGAGCTACGGGGTGTGGGAGACGACCCTCCAGCTAACGCCGCCAGCAGAACCACTGGCCGTGCAGCACCGGGCGCCGAGTCTGAGCCACGGGGTGTGGGAGACGACCCTCCTAACGCCGCTAACGCCGCCCTGCGCTGCCGATGCCCGCAGTCTGATCCATCTGTTCTCGTGGTCGGGCCTGATCGACACGAACACGCTGGTGAGCGAGCTGTTCCGCGTGCCCAACCTGACCACCGGCCGCATGGAGCCCCTGATCGGCTCACTCACCGCTGACGAGGAGGAGATGTTCAAGAACATGATGCGCCGCCTCCATCATATATTCTCGGTAAGGACGGCGTGGGCGCCTCCGAGTGACTGGGCTGTGGTGAATGAGGACGTTCGCCCAGCTGGACGCTGCTTACCACATCCGTGACGAAGACGCGAGCGCCCGTCAGCACGTCTGCGACTGCAGCTGCTGCGCGTCACGTCACTGCGTCATTGCGTCACCGTCACAGCTGCGCTTCACGTCACTGCGTCACTGTCACAGCTGCGCGTCACGTCGCCGCGACCAAGTACCCGATGTTTCAGCACGCTCGTGACTGTGACGTGCGCGTGATGGTGGACGCGGAGCAGACCTACTTCCAGCCGGCCATCTCGCGGCTCACCATGGAGCTGATGCGCAAGTATAACCGGGAAAAGGTGAATACTGCACGTAAGGCGATCGTAGACTCCGTGCTGACTCGAAGCACGAGGTTTCGAGGTGAACCCTCCCATTATTAGTGTGCGCACCTCACCGAACGGCGCGCGGTTCAGGGGGAGGGTGAGAGAAAGATGGGGAGGAGGAGGGCGACAGTGGTGGGCGTGAGGGGTGGTGGAGGCGCGGAACAAAGATGCGATGGTAAGGCCTTGTGAAAGGGAAAAGGGCTGGTATTCAGCTTGCGGCAGACGAACGCTCGGTACGCCCTGCGGTCGACTGCAGTTTTACCATGGCGGTATCAGTTACCTGTCCATAAGGCAGTCCTTTTGAAGCATGCCCATACGCTTACCGCCGCTGTTTTGGCAGGCGATCGTGTTCAACACGTACCAGTGTTACCTGAAGGACGCGTACCACAACCTCACCGTCGACCTGGACCAGGCCGACCGCCAGAAGTTCTTCTTCGGCGCCAAGCTAGTGAGGGGCGCCTACATGGAGCAGGTAACCGGTCGTCAGCCGGCTCGCCTGCTGTTACCGTGATGGCGCCGCGCGTGAATGAATCACTGCACACATCGCCCGGCAGCTGGTGGCTGGACGCTTTTCCTTTCTTCTGGCTAATCGTTTTTCCGCCACAGGCAAACAGAGTTCAGTGCATTTTCTGAAATCATTGACCGGAACTGAGTAGATCGTGGATTTATGCCGGACCCGGGCCCCAGTGACCGCATTGTCACAGACCACGTGATCCGGCTGTCAGTGGGAGCTGACATGAATCCAAGCCACGGTTTTCCCCCAGAACAAAAGTTGCACGTGGTGTTGATCAAGTTACACTACACAATGTGAAATGTCGTGTTGTTTGCCAACGCACGAGCGCTGGACCAATGTCCACCATCTGTGCGCCATATTTTTGCAGATGCATTGTGTGTCTGCAGAGATGACCGTCATTTGTCTGGGTGGGGCACCGTGTTGTCGGCAGGCAGGACCTGAGCAGCCGGAGTGACAAGGTTACCAACCGACCCCTGCACGCCACAGCTGTCCCGTCCCAGGTCATCGCCTCCCCAGAGGCGCTGTATACACTGCTGCTGGGCCCGTCAGAGCTGCTAAGCAGCCGGTCCACTGCTGACCCTGCTGCTGACCCCGCTGCTGACCCCGCCGCCTCCGCCGTCCCGCCGCCTGACCGTCAGCCTGCTCCTTGGGCGCCCGTCCGGCCGCCTGCCCGTCAGGCTGCTCCTTGGGAGCCCGTCCCGCCGCCTGACCGTCAGCCTGCTCCTTGGGCGCCCGTCCGGCCGCCTGCCCGTCAGGCTGCTCCTTGGGAGCCCGTCCGGCCGCCTGCCCGTCAGGCTGCTCCTTCGGCGCCCGTCCCGCCGCCTGCCCGTCAGGCTGCTCCTTCGGCGCCCGTCCCGCCGCCTGCCCGTCAGGCTGCTCCTTGGGCGCCCGTCCCGCCGCCTGCCCGTCAGGCTGCTCCTTCGGCGCCCGTCCCGCCGCCTGCCCGTCAGCCTGCTCCTTCGGCGCCCGTGGGGTCGGCTGGTCGCCGTGGCCGAGTCCCGAGTGCGACGGTCGAGGATCGGGATCAATACCGGGCGGCGCCTCGTCGGCTGACGCCTGCTCCCGCCCCGTTAGGCTCACCACTGGCGCAGCTGCGACGCAGCCGGCCTCTGGTAAATTTAGGTCCCCCCCCCCTCTGCTGCGCCCGCCTCCACGTCAGAGGTCACGTGTTATTGGGGAAACGAGCGTGGCATCCGGCCAATCAAGTGCGTTTCTCCGTTAAAGTGCGTGGCGTAACTGCTTACCTTTCCGCACATGTGTGCACGCCCACCGGTACTCACATGCACTCCGGGCGATTGGGTGCATGGTTTCACCCAATTATGCATTAAGACAGCTGGTGCCTTTGTTGCACCTTAAAAATGAGCTCATGTATGCGGAAGATTTTAGTGATCTTGTCCAGGACAGTACAAGCTATAATTAATTAAGCCTGTGCCAGTTCATCGGGACGTATGCATTTGCATTAGACACTTCTTTTGTGAAAAAGTTAATTCAGGCGCACCCTCCCCCACTGCCGCAACCAAGGAGGAAAGAGGTGCTGATGTGATGGCGGCGGGTTATTTGTACGGGACCACGGCACCAAATAGTATCACTGGAGCGTGCCAGCCGTTAGGCGTGCCGTACCAAATAGTCATTAATTATTGGAATATTAAAACGAAATATATTACACCACCACGCGTCTCAGCCAAGCATTAAAAACCAGTCTCTATGATGTCCAGCCAGCCCCTCCCGCCCACGCCTTTGTGATGTCCAGCCAGCCAGCCCCTCCGACCCATGCCTTCCAGCCTCCCGACAGGGTAGGGCATTCCGACAGGGCAGCATTCACGGACAGTAGTGGCTTATTGAGGGGAACAGACCCTCAACAGGGGGGGATGCCTACACACGCCAGTTACCAACCAGCCCGGTAAGACTTGACCTGGCTCCATCCCCCGGTAAGACTTGATCTGACTCCATCCCCCGGCAGACTTTATCTGACTCCATCCCCCGGCCGCAGCGAGCAGCTCCGAGTGGCAGCAGTCTACTGACCGATGCGAGTTCCTCCAACAGGACCGGGTATATTCAGACGGCTATAGCCTGCTGACGGGGGTGAGGTCCTCCAACAGGGGCGGGCACCCGCAGGCAGTAATACTCTGCTGACAAGTGCGAGTTCCTTCGACAGGACCGGGTACGTTCAGACGGCTATAGCATGCTGACGGGTGTGAGTTCCTCCGACAGGGGCGGGCACCCACAGGCAGTAATACTCTGCTGACAAGTGTGAGTTCCTTCGACACGACCGGGTACCTTCGGACGGTTAGAGCCTGCTGACGGGTGTGAGTTCCTCCGACAGGAGCGGGCCCGGGCCGCCACGCTCGGCTACGAGGACCCCATTAATGCGTCGTTCGAGGCCACATCGGACATGTACGGCAGCTGCCTCCTGGAGACGCTGCGGCGTATTCAGCACTACAAAAAGTACGGCCAGCCCAAGAAGCTGGCCATCATGGTGGCCAGCCACAACGAGGACACGGTCCGCTACACCGTCCAGAAGTGAGAGCGGCCACTGGCCTGGTGGCCGTCATGTGTAGCGTATGTGTGAACCATGGTTGCTGTTCAACCGTTAGTTGAAGCAGGGCACGGAGGGGCTTCGTAAGGCTGGCTTTACAGACGGTCCAATCACATAAGGCTGGGTTTGCACGCTACCGAGTCACATTGGGCTACTTTTGCACATTTTCCAATCACATTTTAAACCTGTCGAACCGCACTGGCGAACAAAGGTTGTTGGGCGACATCCAGGTAGACAGGACACATTTGTTCATCTGCTTGCGTTTATGGATTGTAGTGCTATCCTTAGCTGACTGGTTCGTTTCCGCAGTGAAAACTGTCCATTTGACTAGACGGCAGGTGGAAGTTATTTTTCATTTCATGATTAAAACTGCAACGGACATCGAAATGAGAGCGGTCTAGGTTCTCAGCCTTGACCTGGATGGCTGGTTGCAGAATGAAGGAGCTGGACATTAAGCCGGAGGACAAGGTGGTGTGTTTCGGCCAGCTGCTGGGCATGTGCGACCACGTCTCATTTCCGCTCGGTAAGCTGGCGATGACGTGACGGCATTCACGCCATCCGTCCCCTGTTTCGGACTCTGGTGGATGTGGGGCTATGTTCGCATGCTGCCTGGAAGGTGGGAGTGACCGTTAGGGATGAGGAGCCGTATGCCGGTATTCCCGTCCCCATGAGCATTGTGAAAAGCTCACGTGCGTTTGTGGTTCCGTGAGAAACGGCTGTCCTATCCTTTTTGTAACAGGTATGTGTTTCGTAAGTTTTTCTAAAGTAAAATTGCTCATCGTTTTCACGGTTATATACATGGAACTTTTGGTCCTTATAGTTGACGTGAATATACATACCTTTCCCAAATAACTAAATAAATGACATCCAGGGCAGATGCAGAAAGACAATTGAAGAGCACTTCGATTCATTGACTCAGTGGAGTGACTCGCGCGCTGCCGCCCATCAAGTCGTTTTAGCGACGGCGGCCTGTGATCCGGGCCATGATCAGATCGGCCGCGCAGCGGCAGCAGCATATCCGATGATCCGGGCCGTGCCCAGATCGGCCGCGCAGCAGCAGCTTATCCGATGATCCGGGCCGTGACCAGGTCGGCCGCGCAGCAGCAGCATATCCGACGTGCCGTTTGGACCAGCAGGACGCTGTGGCCTTCTCTGGGGCCCTCCCTACGAGGCGCGACCTGCGCTTCACTGTTGTCCGCCCGCCGCCATCTGATTGTCTCCGCCCGCAGGTCAGGCCGGCTACTCCGTGTACAAGTACGTGCCGTACGGGCCGGTGGACGAGGTGCTGCCCTACCTGTCACGGCGCGCCCAGGAGAACAAGGGCATGCTGACCAAGGTGGCCAAGGAGCGCGGTATGCTGCGCGCCGAGCTGCTGCGCCGCATCGGCCACGGTCAACTCCTGTACCAGCCGCGCGGCAACTACACGCCCGTGTGAGGCCGACCACGCCGTGCCGCTGCCCCGTGGCCGCGATAGGTACTCGCAGTTGCGCTCACTTCCACCTAGTGTCGCCTTGAGGGCGGTTACGTCGACAGACGAGGCTGTGAAGCTCTGGAATCAGGTTACCAAAACGATGCTCGTCAAGCGCGTCCCATGAGGGCGGCGGTTGCGGAGGAGTCACCCGCTAAAAGCGGAAGGCACGTGCGTGTAAATGTTAATCTGTGGCCGTTCGTCATGCTGAGCAGCGTTGCGGTTGTATGTGCTTGAGGAGGGTCTGTTCCTCCCGCAGACCTCATGCGTCCGTGTAGGCTGAGGAACGCGTTTCGTGACGCCGAGTACGCGCATTTATGTCAGGTCAGCAGGCGATCTCCGAGCGTTGCTGTTGAGGTCGCGATATCTCGCAGAAGCTGAAGCAATACACTGACAGCACTGCGTGATCTCGAATTCGGAACGGTGAGAGAGACGACACGCGTGTGTGCACGACTCAGGACCAGAGACGAACCTGGCCTGTCGCCTGGCGCACGTGCGTGCACGACTCCGGCCCGGAGACGAACCTAGCCTGTCGCCTGGCGCACGCACCTCGGAAATACACAGCATTACAGCACAAGTTCCGCGTAATGCGGCCTGGCTAAACCATGGGGGTTCAGACGCTCTGTATTTTAATACCGGGATGACGATCACGGTCGAAACGGATACACTCGGAGGTGAGGTTGCTATCACGAGCTCAGGCTTGTAGTTTCCTACTCGGAAAAACTGCAACGCATAACTTTGAAAAAGTGCCAAATTAGGAGAAACACGGTGTAGTGCGTCTTGGGCTGGGTTGACCTAATGCGTACTCGCTCAGCACCTTCCCCAGATTACTTTGTGACATTACGTCTTTGTCCTCACGGCTTCCACTTCCAAAATAATGCGAGCGTTCACAGACCAAAGAAATGTTACCTTGAAACGAATGACATCTGCCCTTGGCAGGGCAGGCGCCAGGCAGACGAGGCAGACGACTGGCAGGGCAGGCGCCAGGCAAACGACTGGCAGGGTAGGCGCCAGGCAGACGGGGCAGACGACTGGCAGGGCAGGTGTCAGGCAGACGACTGGCGGGGCAGGTGTCAGGCAGACAACTGGCAGGGCAGGTGTCAGGCAGACGACTGCTGCCAGCTCTCGTCTACAGTGCGTTTACGCCAAAATCAATAATAACGGTTTGCCCGTATACCGTGAGACGTTTGTTAGGCGAGACAATTGAGCAAAGCGTACCTGAACATATAAAATTACTGCATTATGTATCAGCAATTTTTAGGATAATCTCCCTTCGCTGGATTAACCTCTACATATCGCAAGCACTGCTAAAAACGTCTAACGTCCAGTAGTTCCGCCATATGTCCCAATAACTGCCTAACTTCATGCAAGATATTTGCTATACAAGATATTTCCGACATAAATAAATAAATATATATATACATATATATATACATATATATACATATATATATATATATATATATATATATAAAGTTGTGTTGGATCTCGACGTGTATTTCAGTACCGTTCGAAAAAGCCTTGGCGCGGAGCATGGCCGCAGGTAAATGCGCTCTCATGGCCATTTGTGTGCCAGCATAATCCGGGCATTACCGGGGGCGCGGGGGGGGGGGCGTAGTTCTCCATAGGTACCGTACAACCTTAGCCTCCACCTGTGCTCGTAATGAAAGCCATGCAATTTTCTAACGTTCAAGCTCCTCCCAAATAAGCGGTCACCTTCTCAGAACAAACCCTCCCTTGCACCTTAAGCACACCGCTCCCTCACTTCTAAACGTGGGACTTTGTGAAGCTTAACCCACAGAGCAACCCGTTAACAGTTCTCAACTATTTTTTTGGTCCTGAACTGTGCGCTGTGCCTGTTTTTCCATTTTTGGTTTGAACACCTCATGGTCTCAATAACTGCACGGCCACACCATCACCTCCAGAACTGGAGGTCACGATCAGGTCATGGTCAGGTCAGACGTCATGAGCCCAAGATGTCCAACGCACGTGCGTGGTGGACCAAGACATCTGGGCAGCGATTCACAAGAAGGATGCTGGCAGCATGGGCCTCGCGTTGCAAACAAACCACTTTTAGCTAAACATCCCGAGTGTCACGCCACGCTACGGTCAGGAGTCCGCTGTGGTCGATACCATTGCGTGTATTCTCGATCCCATTTCTCACGACCCACAGATGGACATAACATGCATGGCCCACTCCCAGACGGAGAGAAAGACCTCAGATATATAACTTCCCGGTGTCATAATCGTGCACGTACAAAAAGCACGCTTCACAAATACTTAACAACGTCCGAGATAGACAACATCTGTTCCAAAGGGGCAATACGTAAACTTCATAGTTCGCTCACAAAACAACTCGAATATAAAGTCCAATTCCTCTCGTCACGAAGAATTCAGCACAACGAATCAATATGAATACCCCTAATCTTTGAAAAACGTAGATATAGATATATATATATATATATATATATATATACGATTTGGATAGTATGTCTTCTAACCGCTTACACTTTACCCGAATACCAAAAAACTGAACATTCGATTTTTGAGAAGTCTCTATCTAACATAACTTTCGACGAACTTTCCATATCCCTACAAGTTTTAGCATGGTTCGTTGTGTTGAGCTTTCGTGAAGAGGCTAGGGTGCAAAATGCACGTAAGGTAAATGAATGGCCTTTCTCTTTGCCCGAGATATATTGCAAACTAAACAGGGACGCACTATTTCGAACGGGTACATTTCCTGGCGCGTCACTAAGAAGTTGAACCAATCCTCAGCTCATTAAAAGAATGCTGCATTCCGGCAATTTCTACGCAGTGAAAGGCCATTCAAATATTTCACACAACAGCTACACTCTTGCCCCCGGAAAGAAGACAGTGCGCTTTGTCCACGCGTCTTTGCGGGATACACCAGTCGACCACGTGCCAGAAGAGAGTGACAGCGAGAGAGCGAGAGAGCGAGCGATACACCGCGTGGTCCTAAGCCGGGGCGGAGACGGGAGACGCGACCGCTGGCCGCCTAAGAAGCCACCGACGACTACCAGCCGGCGGGGCGCTCAGTACTGGTGGTTCTTGATGAAGAGGCCCTCGTCGGCGGCGGCGCCCACACACGAGCCGGCCACGTACTGGCCCTGCGCGGCCGCGCCGTCCGCCTGCAGCAGAGCAGCCGAACCGCGTCAGACAGCCGCTGCCGGCCGCACGCAGCACCAAGCCACGCACGCGGCAGCGGGCGCACACGGCCGCCCGTCAGACAGCCGCTCCCGCCTCACGCAGCACCAAGCCACGCACGCGGCAGCGGGCGCACACCACCGCCCGTCAGACAGCCGCTGCCGCTCCCGCCGCACGCAGCACCAAGCCACGCACGCGGCAGCGGGCGCACACGGCCGCCCGCCAGACGCGTGACAGCTCTGCATGGCTCCAAGTGAACAGAGCGATTAGGGTATGGTCACGACGTCTGAGTGACATCGACGGCTCAGCCATACCATCACAACATCACAATTCAATTACGCAAGCATTTATCGTGCATTCTAGAGGCATGATGCTCAGTGCTCAGATGCTCAGAGGCTCAGTGCTTGGAGGCATGGCAACTGGCTTAGTTATCGTAACAAGAACACTCGGGAAGGATACAGTGCTGCCTAGTTAATGAGTGAGCAACTTGCCGACCTCGGACACCAGGCACATAACACAATGCCCATTCATCACTATTTTCCGCAACTGACTGTCGGTGCTACGCCGCCGCCTTGCACGAGGCATTCTCCCCCGCCAGCCCAGTGCACGTGCACGCCCCGGTGCACACGAAGCATGCGCACGCCCCTGGGCGCACGGTCGCTCGCTTTATTGTCATCCGTGTGTTCCACTCAAAAGTCGTGACTATACTGCTGCCAGCGATCTCCAGTTCAGGTGGTACCTATCAATTTCCGTGTCGTTAAATGATGCCAGCGGTCGCTGCGCCGCAGACACATCTGAAGCCAGCCGGCGGCCGCGGGGCACCAACGCCAGCAGAGATCCAATACCGAGGGTTGGCGTGGCGCCGCGCCGGGCGAGCGAGAGGCCAACACCCGCTGTCAGTGCTACACACCGCCGGGTCTCGTGGCGACCGGCACTGTCGTTAACCATCGGCGTGGACGGCTGGTGGCGGCAGCGATGCGGTGGTGCAGCGACCGAGAGGACGAAAGCAAAGGTGTCCCGTATAACGCGCAGTCACCCGTGGCCAACGGACGGACAGCCAGCGCTGTGGATTGGATTGGCACTGTGCATAGTTTTGGGTTGTGACAGCAATGCTGCTTACAATACCGCTCCCAGCTACGTCGTCGAAGGAGCACCTGAGAGTTCAATGCCACGCGCCCAGTCTGGCCGCGCCAGGCATCTGGTGGCGCCGCCCCCCCCCCCCCCCCCCCCCCCAGCAGCCGGCCGCGACGTACAGCACCTGGCCGGAGGGAGCCCGGACACCACCTAGTAGGCGTGGGCCTTGACGAAGTTGCTCTGGGCGGCGGCCAAACTCGGGATGGAGCCGGCGACGTACTGAGCCTGGCAGGCGAGTCCGTTGGCCTGCAAGTACAGTCGGCACCGCTGCTGAAGCGCTGGTCCCCACCGCACGCCGCGACAAGCACGGAGCAACACTACCGAGCCATTCTCTAGCTGCTGCCACAACCAGCCAAACAAAACCGGCCCAAAACACGGACCAAAAGTAACTGGCGACATGGGTTACAGCAAGTCAAAATACGGGAAACGAGCAGAAAAACCACGGCACGTACGTAAAGAAAGCGAGAACGGCATTCGAGACAAACCTGACCAACACTTGGTGATGCAGGCAGTCCTCTACGCCAACAGCAAGCGTAGGCCTCGGATAAAAAAGGACCACAATTCGAGCAAGGATAAGCTACTACAGACAACCACACAGAGCCGTTGACACGCCGGCTAGACTTACCTTGGCGCGCTTCAGCAGCTCCTGCTGTCCGGCCGGCACGTTCTCGTCCTTGCCGCCCCAGGCCTTCAGCACGGACGCCTGCAGGGCGCGGCCGTAGCTGAAGGTCAGCGCCCATGGCTTCTTGCCGGCGAACTGGTTGATGGCGTTGAGATGAACGGACGCCTCCTCTTCGGTCTGGCCGCCCGACAGGAAGGTGACGCCCGGCACGGCCGCCGGCATGGTGCGCTGCAGGGCCGTCACCGTGGCACGCGCCACCTGCTCTGGCGTGAACTTCTGTGCACACGACTGGCCGGCCGTCACCATGTTGGGCTTGAGCAGCGTGCCCTCCAGGTACACGTGGTGGTCGGCCAGCGCCTTGTAGACGAACGCCAGCACGGTCTCGGTGACCTTCTGAGCGCGGTCCAGGTCGTGGTCGCCGTCGGGCAGCACCTCCGGCTCGACGATCGGCACCAGGCCGTTCGCCTGGCAGATGGACGCGTAGCGGGCCAGCACGTTGGCGTTCTCCAGCATGGCCTGGTAGCTGGGCGTGTTGCGGCCGATCTTGAGCACGCAGCGCCACTTGGCGAACTGGCAGCCGTCCTGCTTGTATTGGGCGCACCGCTTGCCCAGATCATCCAGGCCTGCATCGTACAGAACACAGCCAGCTGTCGGCAAACCGCACCGCTTGCCCAGACCATCCAGGCCTGCATTGGACAGAGCACAGCCAGGTGTCGGCAAACCGCACCGCTTGCCCAGACCATCCAGGCCTGCATTGGACAGAGCACAGCCAGGTGTCGGCAAACCGCACCAATGCTGAAGACTGCCGCTGGTCGACGGCGGGTGTCCATGAACGACAGATCGATGAGACCGCTCAACACGCATATCCAACGTCACTGCCAGTTGTAACGAATCGCGATTTTGACTGGCCGCAAACGAGACCTGTTCACAGCTGGGTTTTATCAATTATTTCCTGAACGTGAACACGATCACCAGAAGTCCCTTGTTCGCGCCGTTTTGTTGGCTTACAGACGTGAGGTGGTATGTGATTTGACATGGTAGCCGCAGCGATCACAGTCAGCACCAACAAGTAACGACTTTAAGTCCGATGACAATCACAAGCGGCGATCACGGTCAGCACTAACAAGGAACGACTTTAAGTCCGATGACAATCGCTACTACCATCCAACAATTACATTTTTACGTGACTTCACCAACGCTGGCACATCAGGCGGCCCTGCCTGTCACCTACGCATCGTTTATCGGCAAACAATCCACATTTTTTACACAGTATTTGAGAAGAAAAAAACGGCGACCATGTTCGGCAGCGAAACTTGCATACTTCCGAATCTGGCAGCCAAGCTCGACTCCAATAAATTTAACACGCGCTTGGGTGGGGGTCAATTTGATCCCCCATAAGTTTTTCGGATTGATTTTCAAACGGGACGGTGGAGTGGCGCCAAATTTTGCATAACTGTAAACAATTGAATAACGAACCATTTCATATCACACCTTGTAAGGTCGCTGACCTATGGATGGTCAGTCAGGCCATGGATTCTGCGAACACCATTTTTAGGGAATCGTTCAATCTGACCCAACGGCGGAGTGTTAGGCGAAGCCGTAATTCTATGAGATAATTTCCTAGGCTGCACAACAATTGAAAGAACTAACTCAATTGATCTAGGGTAAGGTATGAACGTCAGAACAAGATCAAAACCAACCTGTTTTATTACTCAGCTTGTTGTATGCGGTGGTGTCTGGTGCTCATTTTAAATTTATTGATAACGTGAACTGCCTCATCCATCTTTCATGGAAATCTTTGAGGTCAAAATAAGCCAGTGATCTAAAGTGACCCTGGACAACACTTTGTTTTTGGGAACATACTGTCTAGCGTACTATTTGAAGCCTACTCAAATGCAAAGATCAAAGCGGTCTTGTATGATTGTGGTTACCACGACCTTGTAAACGTCAAACAAGGCCACTGACCTTGAATGAGCATCAGTGACGTTTCCTTAGAATAGGGCTCTAGGTTCACGGTAGCTGCAAGAAAATACCTGGGGACACTTTGGACGCCCATCAGGAGTTTGACCTTGTTTGGTCAAACAGCATATTCGCTCCGAGCAGCATAACCTAGGAACCTCAGATTTTGAGAAAGTGAGTTCACGTGAAGGCCAACACATCCCGTGAACTTGATGTATCTGGCTCTCTTAATTCCGAGGTCTCACGCGGGTCAAACTGACCCACACCCGAGCGAAGGGCATTCAACCGGCCACCTGGGCCCGTGTAAAAGATACCTAACCATCGCCGTTGAAAACAAATATACGATGGAGGCTGTCCGTTATACAATTTTCTTTAGGGGGGGGGGGGGGGGGGGAGGCAGGGGCGTAATCGCCACGTCAATACAATACAGCCATTGCTAACAGCTGGAGCCAATACAGTGCCAGCGAGGACCGATACACGTGCCTACATGGTACGGCCTCAGTAGCCATCCCGAGGCTGGAATGAGGTAATTTCGCCTCGGCGTTCGTGGAAGTTACCAACCATTGAGACACACCAGCCGCCCACGTTCGCATTATGACAATGGCCAATGGTGGCAATAATCCTCTCATTTCGTTGCAAATACGGGCATTCAGAGCTTCTACAGGTTCGGTGTCTCTGATACCAACTTAAGCCAGGGCTGGAGCGGGAAAATTACGCACGCGCTGTTTGAGCCCCTGCCGTAATTATTAAGATAAGTCATTGTGCCTTTTTCACACCTTCCAACTGCGTCAGAACGAACCATGTCTCTGCATCTAACCTTAAAGTAGAAGGTGATTTATCTCTGTAAGGCGTTTTCCTTATGACCCCATTGGTAAAAAATCACTAGTACTAGCCTCCTAGAGCCCCGGGTGAGAGCAAAACTTTACATAAATATCACAGCATACAAAGACCTCTAGGAACAAAAAATAGATGGACCAGGATGCAACCAGGAGCACCAGCCCTAGCCTTATCTCATATCTCTCACAAGCCAGAGAGTGAGGATGTAACTGGCCGTGCGAAGACTTCATGACTGGCACATTCCTTGGTAAAACGTATGGGTGTCGGTTACTGAAAATGACTGGCGGAGGGCTAAAGTCTCGAAAGGTGCCATAAGGGATATGTACGAAAAGCGTCTCGTACTTGTCACTTATGATTTGGGTTGATATATATATATATATATATATATATATATATATATATATATGTATATGTGTGTGTGTGTGTGTGTGTGTGTGTGTGTGTGTGTGTGTGTGTGTGTGTGTGTGCGCGTGCGTGCGTGCGTGCGTGCGTGCGTGCGTGCGTGCGTGCGTGCATGCGTGCATGCGTGTGTGCATGCGTGCGTGTGTGCATGCGTGCGTGTGTGCGTGCGTGCGTGAGTGCGTGCGTGGCTACGTATTTTTAAACCTCATGTGCGTAGCCAACGGAACCACATATAGACGCCTATCAACTTCTTATAAACGCGCATCTGTTTTGTGAAGCTGGAACAGTGAAGTTGCATCTCTGTCTTGCATATTCAAAAGTGAAATCCGCGCACAATCTACCATTATTCGCTTAGTTATTTTTGGCGTATTTATCTACGAATTAACAAGATTTAATTCATTTTGATCCGTCCTATTACAAGCTAAAGCCCTTGCCCTCTCCGGGTAAGGGCTCCGTGGATAGCACACTACAGGCAGACTATATTTTCCGGTCAGAGGGTAAAGTGAGGATAAATTTCGTCACAGCGCGAGATGCCTGACGGCTGCCATCCTGGCTTCTCGAAGGGGGGGGGGGGGAGTATCTCCAGGTTCATAGGGAAGCGCTTACAGGGATCCGTCACACATTGGTGGTCTGCCTGACGCCGGAGCCCGCTGAACCGGGTATTTGGGCGCAGGCAGACGCACCGGCCCTCATTGACGCACAAACATCCCTTACCGCCGCAGGTGTCCTATGATAGGACAGAGACTCCAGTTCAGCCAAACGAGCCCCTGGCTGAAATGGGATGGAGAACTCTCCGTTCTGAGCTTGAGCCTATGACTGTCACTGGGCCTTCCAGCGTCTTCTTTTGGTCTCTCGTCGTAAACGGCTATATCCACCTTCGTTGTCGGAGGGCCTCGACCAACAAAGAAGGCCATTAACATTTGGGGTCCTATCCCTGCCCCCGCTAAGCAAATGCTACCCTGGCCGACTCGAGACCCCTTGCTGACATAGAACCCTCTGTAAGCCACTGTGGGGGCGTGACCGACAGAGGAACACACACTGCTTGCAGAGGTTCTGACCAAAGCAAATGGCGTGTGCCGGCCTAGTTCCTCCTTTGGAGCTCCGCCCCCCAGGCTCAGGCCGACACCGAGCGACTGTTCGGTGTTGGTGCTCTTCGGCAGATGTAGGGATCCGCGCGCGCGCAGGCCAAACCACATCGGTGAAGGAGGCACCCTGACTAATATTTGAGGACCCAGCCCCGTGGGTCTGGGCCCTCAGTGTGACCTACGGGACCTGCGGGACCCCACGAACAATACTCCTGACCGATTTGGGGCCCTTCCCGATACAGGACCCTTGTCAGGGATTGTAATTCCCAGATCAACACGAGGGGCTCCTAATTGACTTAGGGGCGCGGCCGATGTGAATCGCGGGCCCGACCTGGGTCCTAGGCTTGGGAGATGGGCCTGGGCCCCAGACCGGACGCTGGAGTAATCTGGTGGCGAATCCGCCTCCACCACAGCGGCGCCACACTGCAAAACAGGTCTGGGGGGCTGAGAGGGGACACCTCACCATAAACACATCAAACAACGTGATTCTCCCCGGATTTGACCCACTTTTCTCTCAACATTGTGAAGTCAAAGTCACTGCCCCCCCCCCCCCCACCCACCTGCACCCCAACCAAACGGGAAACTACATTCCAGCTCTAATACGTTTCCTCGTTCTTTCTCGGCGGAAGATGTTGACGTTGGGCATCATTATCAGTTTGTGTGGCGTCGATCGTCACAGCTAGGTTCAGGTAATCGACAGAAGGTCGATGTTATGTGGCTTCAGACGCTCTTAAACGCGTAAAGTGCGCAAATGCATAGTAAGTACATATCATACATACATATACATACATACATACATACATACATAGCATACATATCATACATACATATCAGTAAGTTCATCGGAAGTAAAGAGTACAAGTTTATGTGCGGGACGACTACAGGTTGCCACAGAAACCCCGGCTGATAGCCATGTGGTGGCGTGCATGTGGCAACTTAGCATTCGCGTTAGGCATGTTGTCGGGCAATCGCCACTATTGGATCAGTCGGCTGGTACCGGCCGTCCATTTCTCGTACCTGCTGCATCGAGTATTCACGTCCAAACGGGTGTCGGCACATTTCAACGGTTCTTCCGAATGAAAGCAGCTAATGACCGGATCGCGTTTTGGG